GAATCTATTTGCACCTGTAGTTGTACTATTGACACCGTTTAACGAATGTATTTGCTCATGTAGTTGTACTATTGACACCATTTAACTAATGTATTTGTACCTGTAGTTTTACTATTGACACCATTTAACGAATGTATTTGTACCTGTAGTTTTACATTAACACCGCTGAACGAATCTATTTGCTCCTGTAGTTGTACTATTGACACCATTTAACGAATGTATTTGTACCTGTAGTTGTACTATTGACACCGTTTAACGAATGTATTTGCTCCTGTAGTTGTACTATTGACACCATTTAACGAATGTATTTGTACCTGTAGTTTTACTATTGACACCGTTTAACAAATGTATTTGTACCTGTAGTTTTACTATTAACACCGCTGAACGAATCTATTTGCACCTGTAGTTGTACTATTGACACCATTTAACGAACATATTTGCACCTGTAGTTGTACTATTGACACCGTTTGTTCACCTGCACATTTGTTAGTGCTTTTCATCAATGGGGATAAGGAAAGTATAAGCTGCACACGTGCACAGTAGCACATTTGTGTTGGTGGACACTTAATTAGCTGTATTTAATTAATGCGATTATAACTCTCTTACTGTGGCTAAATCTATTTTACAAAGGTAGATTCACCTTTAATCAATTCTTGCAACTGTTCATACACAAATTGTCTGCCTTCATTACAGTAATTTCTGATATTTTAGCACGCAATGAAATCGGGTGCTAGTCCCCACTTAACACATTGAAATGTTGAAATACAAATCGAGATTGTACGTGTTTATCAGTACAGGTCTTTATATTTACATTGTTGTTTTAATTTCAAGGACTAATTACTTTCTATAAATATTGTTGTTTTAATTCAAGGACTAATTACTTTCTATACACATTGTTAGTTGTTGTGCCATTAGTAAAGTGTGATAATATTTCACATCTTATTTTCTGAAATGGCGCCGTCGTTGTCATTCATAAACAAACATAATTAATGTAATTACAATGAGAAATTCCAGCGCCCTCCTATTAGCCTTGAAATTGTAGCTAACCCCCCCCCCCCCCCTTGCCTCCGTCTCACCCCTATGAGAGCCGATCAATGATGTCGTGCTGGGATGTTACAGGATGTCGCCAGCGCCACCTAGCGTGACTTATTCTTCCACCAGTCACAAACCTGGCAGACGTTCATCCTTTGATTAGCACTAATACTAGATCCAGATATAGTTCCTTTAATTAGCAGTAATACTTCTGTCAGTACTAGCTGCAGGTATAGTTCCTTTCATCTCGGCACATATGGTGTATCGAGACTAACTACCTAGTAAATTACGGGTGAAATTAAGTCTGCCTTGCTCAGTATGTTACATAGGCTTGATGTTACACCATTGTATGGTCCCAGGCTTCTTATTCTTTCAAGCAATCAAAATAATCGCCGTAGAGCTTTGAGAGTGCAGAGTGTTAAAGTTTGCATCTTTAGCTTTTTGCCCTTCACTCGTCCACAATCATAGATCCTTGCCCTGTCATTTGTATTTACCATTGGCCTGTCATTTGTATCTACCATTGGCCGCCTGTCATTTGTATCTACCATTGGCCGCCTGTCATTTGTATCTACCATTGACCTGTCATTTGTATCTACCATTGGCATGTTGTCATGTCATGTGTATCTACCATTAGCCTGTCATTTGTAACTGCTATTGACCTTTCATTTGCATCTACCATTGGCCTGTCATTTGTATCTACCATTGGAATTCCCATAACCAATCCCACTTTCAAGGAATTCCCATAATCAATCCCAATTTCAGGGAATTCCCATAACCAATCCCACTTTCAGGAAATTCCCATAACCAATCCCACTTTCAGGAAATTCCCATAACCAATCCCACTTTCAGGAAATTCCCATAACCAATCCCACTTTCAGGAAATTCCCATAACCAATCCCACTTTCAGGAAATTCCCATAACCAATCCCACTTTCAGGAAATTCCCATAACCAATCCCACTTTCAGGAAATTCCCATAACCAATCCCACTTTCAGGAAATTCCCATAACCAATCCCACTTTCACGGAATTCCCGTAACCAATCCCACTTTCAGGGAATTCCCGTAACCAATCCCACTTTAACGGAATTCCCGTAACCAATCTCACTTTCAGGGAATTCCCGCATCAATGTAGCACCGCCATAAGAGACCAATCATACCGACTAACAAACGTAGCGAGACGGCTAATAGGATCAAGGCTCTACCAGAATCTTGCGAGAGAGCCTAAAGTTCAAGATGGCCGGACAAATCTATTGTATCGATCTAGGCACATTTTTAATCAATTGATTTTGTTTGGCTCAGCTGTAAGTAGGTGGGATCACAGCTGTTGCGTGAAATTTGATTTTGAAAACTGATGGCTCATCAATATTTGACTCGATGATTACATGTTCGAACCATTCGCACTAGGATGATAGTCTCCCTCGCTGTGACGTCACATTCACCAATCTTTGAAGGAAATATGTTTTAACGTTATTCATTGCAGCGTGACAAACGTCGCGAATAGGCCAACCGTTAAGGCTTACATTATAATGACCTTGAGGCACGTCAGTGAGCAAAGAACTTTACGCTTGATTGACTCGTGAGTTAGATTTTGTGGGACGCAGAGGGCAAGGTATGTCATGTTAAGTCGCTTTAAGTGCGGAGTTTCAAACTTTAATTTCATCACATTTTTAGAAGCCAAACATCCTGATGAGTTTCTACAAAAAAATTTTTTTTATAAACTAAAAATTTCCCAAGCTGTTAAGATTAGTTAGTTGTTTTTGTTATGTGAAATCCTCTTTCAATTGACCACGGGATAAAACTGACCTCTGGACAATAAGTGACCACAGGACAGACACTACAAACTGACCACAGGACAGACAAACAACTAGACACCTTTATCAGACGACCAACTGTCACCCACACGTCTGTTCACTGAAGGTTGAGTTACTGTAATCACACAGGAAGCTGGGCGTGGGGGTCGGGCACACGTTCCACCCACACCTGCCCGTCAGGGTGGGGAGATAACGATATTGTCTGCCATCAATGACCTGACCCCCAATGACCCCCATCACGGTGGGGAGATAACGATGATGTTAGCCCTAACTGACCCCCGTCAGGGTGGGGAGATAGCGTAACTGGACTGACCGCAAACAGGAAGTGAATAAAAGCACCGGAAATGGATGAGTTGTGTTTGTCTCAGACCTCCACATGAGAACGTTTCTTTATGTTTTATTTTTAAAGACGTTAAAGTGGGATTAATGAGTTGAACAAGTGACCTCCCGGGGTCACGTGACTTGACATGTAGTGGGATAGACCTTTACAGATGGCATCATCAAGTAAATAAACGTGCATCGATCTATGCAGTGACAAGTCGGGGGGGGGGGGGGGGGGGAGGAGGGGAGGATGGGGGTCTGTGTCTTCGTTCAGTGGTCATGACGTCACAAGTGAAAATAAACCGGGAGTGATCTCCCCTAAATTTTCTCGAATATTCTTATATAACACTACGGGGGGGGGGGGGGGGGGTGGCAACTCATTTTATAGAAATATGAAAGCGAATATAAAACGTCGATCACCTCAACAGCAAGACGACTGGCCAACTTAAATTTCATTTTTTTTTACAAACCCATTAAAGCCGAGACCACGTGATTGGTGAGTTAGGTAATGTGAGAGCACGTGATTACAATCTGACGCCAGTAAATGTCAGCCGAGAATTTTTCCACTAATTCAACATGCGGCAACTTTTGTCTTTAAATAAACGTTTGGTGTGGGAGAGGAGGGGGGGGGGGTGGGGGGGGGGGTGGCGAAGCTAGACGACAACAGTTATTTTGTTTTTCCTATTAATCAGTAGCACGTGATCAAAGTTCGCGCAGAAAATGTTGAATGTATCAGTCTAGGCCTATAACGAGTTGGCTAACGACTGAACTATTTTTTGTTTGGTCAAGAAAAACAATAGCTAGGCCCTACATCGTAAGGTAGACGGTGGGTGTGTCCACAGATATAAAGCATCGGTGGTGCGTTTTATCATTTATCTATGCCTCAAACTCAACCCCCCCCCCCCCTTGCCCTGTGGGTATTCGGATTAACGTTTTTATGTTGATGGTTTGACTTCGCTTTTAATAAAAAGTCCATGGGATTTTTGTTTTTGTGACTTAGTTAATTAACTACAGATTGCAGTGTATTACATAATGTTGTCATTTCACAAACACGTAAGTGGTGGCTGTCATTCGGTTGACTTGAGTCAAGTAAATGACTGAAATACTTTCAACTTTGCTGAGAAGCTATTGCTGAAACGTCAGTCAGTTGGAGTCAGGAGTCATTTATTATCTGACTCTGACGTCACGAATCACGGAATGTTCACGCCAAGTAAAAAACAAACGGTCATGCAAGGACCAATCACCGGTGGTAAATAAAACCACGTGACACAAGAGTAAACAAAACAGTCACGTGGAACTCTGAAGATATTGTTTACTTCGGTACAGCCAATGTTTTTATATGCAAATCAGCCTGTATCACGTGGTGTGTTGTTTACCATTAGCATAGTGTGTTATCTAGGCGGAGTATGCACTGCTCGGGTTTATTCAGACGGGCTATCGATTTACTTGGAGGCAGTCGAAAATTGGGCAGCGTGGAGGGGAGGGTGCGGAAGGAGTGGGGTGACTCGACAAAATGTTTTTAGTGGGCGCATGTACAAGTATGTGCTGGGATCGTCTGCACGTAAAACAGTTTGGTGCATATGAGTAAATCAACATGCAGGCTCAACACACAAGGCCATACCTGAGTCGTGTTTAAAACGCCACCCCTTCCTATACCCTTCCCTACCCTTACCCCCCCCCCCCCACACACACACACTCAATGCAAACTGATACGGTCCTTAATTATGACAAGAAGAAAAAAAAAGCTTAGAACGCAATGAATTTGTTCTTTACACCGAGGGCGGGTAGACTAGTGGCGAGGGCATGTATACACGGCGAGTGTTGTGTGTAGCCTCGGGGTGTGTATATCAACAGCACGGCTAGGCGGATGTGTGAGGTTACGTCTGCTGGCAGGCGGCTTGAAGTGAGCACGTGAAATATTTCTTTTTAAGTGGACGTGTCTGGATTTTACACACGTGCAGTTTGTATCGATATTCACCCGTGTTACATTTTGTGTGGGGTAAATCAGAAAGATTCAATCGATTTTAAAGCTAATTCATCAATCGTGGGCTGTGATTGGGGTCGAAAGGGGAGGACACTCTCATGTAAAGTTGTGATGTGCCTGCCGTGTTGACATGTGGCTAGCAGACGATCAGACAGTCGCTCTGACTCAAGCTGATTTTTCTTCGACCAGTGGACACATTGATTTCAGGACCTGGGACCGTCCTTCTCTAGGTCAGACCTCACACTAAACTTACTGTGTGATTTCACAAGGTCTGAGTTGAGCGACAGGTGCTATAAATAGAATTGTTACAGAATTAGACCCTAGCGTGTAAGCAATCATTGAAATAATTTCTTGTGAGTTCAGGCGGAAAGACGGAAACAGGTGTGGTGTCAAGGTTTAAATTTCAAAAGTTGCGTTAGTTATATTTGTGTTAATGTAGGCCAAAGGTAGGCTGACATGTTCGCTAGACCTGTTCTGGTTTTATTTATTGTTGTGCAAACCTTGAACTTTGACTTTAGTTAAGTCAGTCTAGCGCAGTGGTTCTAAAATTTTGGAAGCTTTGGACTTTAATTAAGCCGGCAGATGAAGTGGTTCTAAAATTTTGGAAGCCTTGGACTTAATTAAGCCAGTATATGTAGTGGTTCTAAAATTTTGGAAGCCTTGGACTGTAATTAAGCCGGCAGATGTAGTGGTTCTAAAATTTTGGAAGACTTGGACTGTAATTAAGCCGGCATATGTAGTGGTTCTAAAATTTTGGAAGCCTTGGACTGTAATTAAGCCGGCAGATGTAGTGGTTCTAAAATTTTAGAAGCTTTGGACTTTAATTAAGCCGGCAGATGTAGTGGTTCTAAAATTCATGAGACGTGGGTTTGGACTGACATTTGACAAAAACTGGTCGCGTAAAATGGTATCATCTGGACCCAGCAACAGCTCACTAATTACACAGGTGTTAATCAATTAGTTGTACACACTTGTAGGCACACGATACTCCATAACGGCTGTGTGTCAAATAGTTCAATCTATATACTATAGGGCCTATATATATATATATATATATATATATATATATATATATATATATATATATATATATATATATATATATATATATATATATAAACACTTCAGGGGAGATTTAATTATCAGTTGCCAGGAAATAAAATTTCACATTATTTGTAGTGTGTTAATTGGTAGTGTGTCGATCGGTAGTGTGTTAATTGGTAGTGTTAATTGATAGTGTGTTAGTTGTTAGTGTGTTAATTGATAGTCTGTTAATTGGCAGTGTGTTAATTGGCAGTGTGTTAATTGGTAGTGTGTTAATAGGTAGTGTGTTCAGTAGCATAGCCAGGATCGTCTCATGGGGGGGGGGGGAGGGGGGAAGGGTTTCAAATTTTTACCCGGGGACAAACTTTCGATTTGCACACAGCCCCTCAAACTTTCGATTTGCACCCCCCTCAAACTTTCGGTTTACACCCCCCCTCATACTTTATATATATACCGAGGGGTCTATGGGGGGGGGGGGGGGTTATGACCCCCCTTAACCTCCCCCCTGCCTACGCCACTGAGTATGTTAATTGGTAAAGTGTTATATTAGTTTGAATGTTTCCATCCACCGAGTGGTAAGGCCAATGTGTGGGAACACCTCACCTGTGTGTTACATATGTCGTAACACCTCAACTGCTACACACACCATTTTTCTAACAGCGACACATATTCTCTCTATGTTCGGTATGTGGACACTTGACCCATCACATTATTGCGTGAATTGTGTTTAATTAATTAATTTAAAACATCAAGTAAATTGTGTTTAATTAATTAATTTAAAACATCAAGTAAATTGTGTTTAATTAATTAATTTAAAACATCAAGTAAATTGTGTTTTATTAATTAATTTAAAACATCAAGTAAATTGTGTTTTATTATTTAATTTAAAACATCAAGTAAATTGTGTTTTATTAATTAATTTAAAACATCAAGTAAATTGTGTTTAATTAATTAATTTAAAACATCAAGTAAATTGTGTTTAATTAATTAATTTAAAACATCAAGTAAATTGTGTTTAATTAATTAATTTAAAACATCAAGTAAATTGTGTTTTATTAATTAATTTAAAACATCAAGTAAATTGTGTTTAATTAATTAAGTTAAAACATCAAGTAAATTGTGTTTTATTAATTAAGTTAAAACATCAAGTAAATGTTACTTAGCTAAATCACGGGCATAGGCTCTGAAAAAAACCCCCCACTAAATTAATAAGCTTTTTAAATTTGTTTTTGTGCATGTAAGGTGTATAGGCTGTGACTGTATATAGCTTTTTATGATTCACCAAGTTTTTAAAGTTGAGGTCCATGTTTTCGTTTCAAGAAACTAATCAATAACAGATGTTGATACTAAAACAGTTGTTGCAAAAGTAGGCTACATTTTTATAGCTATAGAAACCTATTTATAACAGTTATGACAGTTATCGATACTAAACTTATCGAAGACAATTAGCGATACTAATTTTATTAAGGAAAGGTATCGATACTAAACCAGTTGCTTGTGTCTGCTCGCACGTGAGTAGAGACCGTGACGTCACTGAGTCATGGCCGTCTATGTGAAAAAAAAACCAACCAAAACTTAAGGGAGAGAAGTGACTCTCGCGTTGCTGTCACAAAGCTAAAGGGAGAGAAGTGACTTGTGTGACTATTTTAGTCAAAACCTTTGATATAATCCTGACTGAGTACTTTATATGGAATATTTCTTTCCTAAAAACGTGCCCGGATACTGGAAAAGGATATACGAATAAAGTAAGTTTTTATTTATTTAGCTGCATTTTAAAAACTAAGTAGATCTACCTTCTAAACTAAACGCCATTAACATTTTGGTATAAATGCCGTAAATTTAGTCATTAAATATCTATTATTTCTGTAATGGTAGGTTGCAGAAGAAACAATACTAACTATTTTGTTACCCCGATCCAGCAACTCGCCACCCGACCGACCCCCGCCATTTGAACCCCCTGTCAGTTGCCTCTAATGGGGGGGGGGCTCCAGAACTGGCATCTATTTGTGCCTGCTCCAACTGCGGCACTATCTGAACTATTGTATAATCTCAACTGTTCCAATTTTAGGGACTGTTACCCATTCATGAACTGTAGCACACACACACACAATAACTTGTATCGTCACACTTACCGTAGAATACATACACACACATACAGAGTGGCTTGTGTCGTCACACCCCAGTTATCGCCCTTGTTTTCTTGTAGCTCTGGTAGACGTGAATTGCTGGTTGTCTAACCTGATTTGGTGTGGCGTCACTCTGATGTACGTCTCAATCGTCTCGCTTAAGATAGAGTGGGTAGTGGGTACAAGGCTTATCCTTAGGGTAGGACGAGGGTTGGCGTTGGGGTTGACACGGGGTTGTAACTAGAGGTTGGCAGGGGGTTATCTGTGAGGATCCAGCGAATATCGCCACTATGACTGGCCAGAAGATTGCTAGAGAACCGTCAAACGGAGGGATGAAATAATTTAAAACTATTGCGCTGAATTTTTACCACTTAGATACATGTGACTTTAAAAAAAAACTTGACTGTTTTGACCATATAGATCATGGGTTCCCAACCTGGGGGTTTCTGGGGGGTCGCCAACTGGTAGACTAAACTCTAGCAATGAATAAAAAACATAAATATTTAGAAAAATATTTGAAATTCGGCATTACTAATATCACTGGAAATGGAATAGAGAATAACCAATTTGTACTGTGCAAAGTTGTTCTTAGTCGGGAGTCTATGAAAACTGCCAAACGTCAATTTGAGACGAGTCATTCGGAACGCACCAAAAAAGATATGTAGTTCTTTTGTCGGCACGAAGCTAGTTGCAAACGTCAGAGACTTGATCGAACAGAACGTTTTCACCAAGAAAACACAGCATTAGTGCAAGCATCATATGAAGTAGTATTAGAAATTGCCAAGCAAAAAACCTCTCACACAAAGGAGAAAATCTCATCAAACCATGTATGCTGAAGATGGTAAAATTAATTCTTGGTGATTCCAGTGCAGTAAAGATGCAACAAATATCTCTGTCTAATAATACTATGCAGCTGCTTATATTAAAAGACAAATTTAGAATGAAATCAAGCTTTCACCATTGTTTGATTTTCAAGTTGACGAATCGACAGACGTGAGTTCGTGTTCGCAGTTGCTTGTCTTTGTGAAATATATTCATTCAGATGTTAGCAAATAAGAGTTGATGTTTTGTGAAGATATCATGGAGAAAATAAATACGTTTTTTGAAACTGGAGGATTAAAATGGGGAAACGGCTGTAGGGCTTGTACGGATGGTGCGTCATGGTTGGGTCAAAATGGGGGTTTCAGAAAAAAGTAAAAGGTAAAAGATTTAGCTCCCTAATGAAAGGGAATCCACTGCATGATTCACATATGCCCTCGCCAGCAAGACTTATCCGACTCCATTGCTAATAAAAGTCGCAAGTCATATTAAATCTGGAGCCCTAAACACCTGTCTGTTTCAAGAACTGTGCAAAGAAATGAATACAGATCACGAGGTTCTACACTTCAGTACGCTGGCTGTCAATAGGAAATGTCAATCGTGTTTTTGAATTGAAAGATGAAATCAAGTTGTTCTTGGAAGTGCAAGGAAACTAGATCTTTTGATATACTTTAACGAGATGGCGTGGTTGGAGAGAGTATCATACCTAGCAGATATATTCGAACATCAACATAAGCTTAACCTGATAAAGGAACGAATATTATCTCTTTTCATGATAATCTCTTGGCATTTTTATCAAAGCTGCAAAATTGGCGAGGAAAAATAAATATTTGAAATACTGCCATGTTTGAGAAACTCTGCAGTGTGGTGTGATAGATACAATTTTTAAAGGATTCCGTGCATCTTGAATCTCTTGACAACGAACTGCGGCGTTATTTTCCCCGAGCTGAAAGAAGAAGAATCTGCATTGTCACCCATTCTCTGCTTTCTTTGATGTTACCAGCATTGCCGATGAATAACAAGATGAATTCTTAAATTAGCAAAATTTAATTGTTAATGCTAGTTAATGCTTGTTAATAGCATGTAATTTTGCTCATCGTATTAAAACAGTTATCAAGAAGAATTCATATTGAAAGTCTACTAGAAAATATTAATTATTATTATTTTCTTTACTAATTTCGACTTGTTACTTATATGGGGGTCGCGGGTCACTAATGTTTTATGAAAGGGGGTCGCCACTCGAAAAAGGTTGGGAACCACTGATATAGATACATGTTACTAAAAAATTGACTGTTTGTGGTACTTATCTACATTTATCGTGTATGTTGATATTTTGTGTTTTTGTGGTACTTATCTACATTTATCGTGTACGTTGATATTTCGGTAACGGAATAACACTGTGTTTTTCTAGTCGCTACAAGTTAACAATCAAGGTCATGGGTTAAAAAAACTAGTTAAAATGACACGGAACAAGATATGTACCGAATCAGCACACCACCGATATAATCCAGGTCCTGATTAAATATTTTTATTGCATACATTTTTCTCGGGGAATAAACTTTGTCAAAATAAAAATAGCAAATTAAATGACATTCATAAAAAAGGTTGAGATTTGTGTTTTGTCATAACTGATGAAATGAATAGAAAATATTCGTGACTCACCATGTCGACTGTAGCGATCGTGTCCTTATAATGAAAACAGGCGGACGACACTGTATCATTGAATATCTTACACAACTCTTGTTGTCTGCAGGCTGTTGTTGTCCCTAAAGGGGGGTGGGGGGGGGGGGGGGGGAGAAGGGGAGGGTGTAGAATGGTGTCATTTAGAACACGTGTGTCTGGTGTGTAGGCCCTGTCCTGGTCATCTCTAGGCCCTGTCCTGGTCATCTGGTCATCTCTAGGCCCTGTCCTGGTCATCTGGTCATCTCTAGGCCCTGTCCTGGTCATCTGGTCATCTCTAGGCCCTGTACTGGTCATCTGGTCAACTCTAGGCCCTGTCCTGGTCATCTGGTCATCTCTAGGCCCTGTCCTGGTCATCTCTAGGCCCTTTCCTGGTCATCTGGTCATCTCTAGGCCCTGTCCTGGTCATCTCTAGGCCCTGTCCTGGTCATCTGGTCATCTCTAGGCCCTGTCCTGGTCATCTGGTCATCTCTAGGCCCTGTCCTGGTCATCTGGTCATCTCTAGGCCCTGTCCTGGTCATCTGGTCAACTCTAGGCCCTGTCCTGGTCATCTGGTCATCTCTAGGCCCTGTACTGGTCATCTGGTCAACTCTAGGCCCTGTCCTGGTCATCTGGTCATCTCTAGGCCCTGTCCTGGTCATCTCTAGGCCCTTTCCTGGTCATCTGGTCATCTCTAGGCCCTGTCCTGGTCATCTCTAGGCCCTGTCCTGGTCATCTGGTCATCTCTAGGCCCTGTCCTGGTCATCTGGTCATCTCTAGGCCCTGTCCTGGTCATCTGGTCATCTCTAGGCCCTGTCCTGGTCATCTGGTCAACTCTAGGCCCTGTCCTGGTCATCTGGTCATCTCTAGGCCCTGTCCTGGTCATCTCTAGGCCCTTTCCTGGTCATCTTGTCATCTCTAGGCCCTGTCCTGGTCATCTCTAGGCCCTGTCCTGGTCATCTGGTCATCTCTAGGCCCTGTCCTGGTCATCTCTAGGCCCTGTCCTGGTCATCTGGTCATCTCTAGGCCCTGTCCTGGTCATCTCTAGGCCCTTTCCTGGTCATCTGGTCATCTCTAGGCCCTGTCCTGGTCATCTCTAGGCCCTGTCCTGGTCATCTGGTCATCTCTAGGCCCTGTCCTGGTCATCTCTAGGCCCTGTCCTGGTCATCTGGTCATCTCTAGGCCCTGTCCTGGTCGTCTGGTCATCTCTAGGCCGTGTCCTGGTCATCTCTAGGCCCTGTCCTGGTCATCTCTAGGCCCTGTCCTGGCCATCTGGTCATCTCTAGGCCCTGTCCTGGTCATCTGGTCATCTCTAGGCCCTGTCCTGGTCATCTGGTCATCTCTAGGCCCTGTCCTGGTTATTTGGTCATCTCTAGGCCCTGTCCTGGTCATCTGGTCATCTCTAGGCCCTGTCCTGGTCATCTGGTCATCTCTAGGCCCTTTCCTGGTCATCTGGTCATCTTTAGGCCCTGTCGTGGTCATCTCTAGGCCCTGTCCTGGTCATCTCTAGGCCGTGTCCTGGTCATCTCTAGGCCCTGTCCTGGTCATCTGGTCATCTCTAGGCCCTGTCCTGGTCATCTCTAGTCCCTGTCCTGGTCATCTGGTCATCTCTAGGCCCTGTCCTGGTCGTCTGGTCATCTCTAGGCCCTGTCCTGGTCATCTCTAGGCCCTGTCCTGGTCATCTGGTCATCTCTAGGCCCTGTCCTGGTCATCTCTAGGCCCTGTCCTGGTCATCTCTAGGCCCTTTCCTGGTCATCTGGTCATCTCTAGGCCCTGTCCTGGTCATCTCTAGGCCCTGTCCTGGTCATCTGTTCATCTCTAGGCCCTGTCCTGGTCATCTCTAGGCCCTGTCCTGGTCATCTGGTCATCTCTAGGCCCTGTCCTGGTCGTCTGGTCATCTCTAGGCCCTGTCCTGGTCATCTGGTCATCTCTAGGTCCTGTCCTGTTTGTCAGGTGACGTAAACAAGTACTCACTCAACACACATAAATGCCTACACAAATAACGTACACATACATACACATATACCTACTCACTCAACACACATAAATACCTACACAAATAACCTACACATACATACACATATACCTACTCACTCAACACACATAAATACCTACACAAATAACGTACACATACATACACA